TTTAATTGTCTTTAACTTCAAGTTGAACTTGCATATGAGCAGTTGATGATCTGTTCCACAATCAGCTCCTGGCCTGGTTTTGGCTGAAGATATTGAGCTCTTCCACCGCCTCTTGCCACAGATGTAGTCAATCTGATTCCTGTGTGTTCCATCTGGTGAAGTCCACGTGTAGAGCCACCGTGTCCATGTATATAGGGTTAGGAGACAATATTTCTACATGCATATTTGTATGTGCTGTAAGAATATCCAGGTGTATAATAGAGCTGAAAAGGGGCAAAGGTGTGGTGGCTTCTTGGCCACAGCCAGCTACGTGGAGGGAGCGAGTAGCTGGACTTGTGGGCTCAGGACCATGATTGCAGGGGACATCAAGCTCAAATTGGCATAACATACTACATAAAAACACTGTTCTACATTCTACTTTGGTAAATACAAACTGGACTCTTAAAAGTTTGCAAGTGACCATCTAGATGAAACAATGGGTCTCTCCTCGTCCAGAGCAAAGAAAAATGAAGAAAACCAAAGATCCATGGAAACAATTTGTCCAAGGAACTAGTAGACCATGTGCTCCTCAGCCCATATAACCATGAGACCAAAAGAACTAGATGGTACCTGGATGCCACCATCTAGTCAACTACTGTCAACCAGTTGGAGGGGGATCGGTGTAGGATATCCTGGATAGGGTGGGAGAAAAATGTGGACCAAAACTCAAAATCATCAAAATAAATAAATAAAGCCTAGATTTGCTGATCTGACATGACAGAGCCTGATCAGACCCCTGAGACTATGGCCTCTACCCATCATTCAGGTCTGAAATTGAACTCACTCCTGTGGCTTCCAGCCAAACAATACACAAGTATATGGGATAAACATTTACATGAGGTAGATACACAGCTTGGAGCAATCAATCATGGGAAAATAGAAGGGCAATGTTTGCAAAGGGAAACAGGTTAGGGGCTGGGAGTGCATGGGAGGGAAGGTCACAGGGAAGAGGTAACTAAGGGAAGAAGTGGGAAAAGATCTGTTACAATGTGGGGAATTGTGATCAATGTCATGAGACAAGATATGTATGAACTGCTATATGGAAAAGAATTTGCTCTGTAAACTTTCACCCAAATCAAAATAAAAATTAAAAATAACAGAAAAAAAAACATAAACAGTGTTGCAGGTAGTACATTTTTAATTGCTATAGGCATGTTGGTGATTTTAAGTATTGTGATCAATATTGCTTGGGAGAGGTTAACTTCAACTGGGTCTTAAAGGATGCAGAGAATGTATCATTTTCACTGAATGACATACAGTAGACATCCTGCAAATGTCAGTAAAAGAGAAAAACAAACAAAAAAAAATCAAACTCACTGCCGTCGAGTCAGATCCGACTCACTGCGTCCCATACTTGAGTTTCTGAGGCAGTATCGCTACGGAAGTAGGTTGCCTAACCTTCCTTCCAAGGAGAGGCTGGTGGATTGAACCACCAGCCTTCTGGTTAGCAATCAAATGCCTTAGCAGTCAATAATTAAGAGCACCGCATAGAGATTAAGTGCATGAATATTAAGTACCTAGTATGTACAGCTTCAGAAACCCAAGGAGGGGTCTCTATCGGTCAGATCCGACTCAACAGCAGAGTTTTTTTATGTATAACCAAAACCAAACCAAACCCACTACCATCAAGTTGATTTCATCTCAGTGGTAGAGAGTTTTAATTTTGATACTAGTTATTAAATATAGCTTTAAAAATATTATTCATATTCTGTCTCTTTCCAAAACAGTAATCTCAATCAATCCTTATGAATTATGAATAAATTGAAGACAAAGGACAAGGGCTTATTCATCTTTGTAGAGTTATAAATATCCTTCAGGATCCTTTGAGGAGCTAAACAATAATAATGAATTTGTGTAAACAAAGGACAGAAACACCAGCTAAATTGTATGTATAGATAATTAATGCATAAATTAAATTAGTAATCATGTCAATCACATTAATGAACCATCTGCCATTTCTGTTACTTCTAGTCAAGGAAAAGATAGAAATTAGGATATTAATAAGAACTCTATATAAACTAAGGGAGTGATTAGTAAGGATCCTAGTAATTGAAACATATATGGGATTATTTTTAGCCCAGAGAAAAAGAAAGAACATGAAAAACATATGCCATTTTCATAGCATAGTAACTTGAAGAGCACAACTTTTTTCACTAAAAGAAGCATTCCTGGGAGAAGAGCAGAGGAACCTAATGTGTCATAAAGAAGACACAGCAGCCGGTCACTCAGTCTCAGAAAGCAATCTGTCCCAAGGCCTAATGTGAGGGGAAGGTTACTGCTGACCATTATAAAAAATCCTTCTTAGTATCACAATACTCTTTCCTTATCAGTATCAGAGATCTCTCTTATCTGTTCTCTGCCTGACTGCCTCATTCTAATATTTTTATGGATTTCTCTTCTTTCACCCATCTCATAAATGTAGTTGATATCTTCTCATTCTACACAGTCCCCAGGCAACTGCATCCATAGTTCTGGCTTCAACTATCATTCATTTGCTGAATGGTAAATCTACATCTCCAGTTCAAATCTTTTTCATGAGGTCCACTTAATCAACTATTATCACACATCAAAAAAACAAACCAAACTCACTGCCATCTAGTTGATTCCGACTCACAGCAACCCCCATTGGGCTTCAGAGGCAGTAAAATCTTCCTTCTGAGGAGTGGCTGGTGGTTTTGAACCACCAACCTTCTGGTTAGCAGTCAAATGCCTTAGGCACTGTACCACCAGCTCCTTATTATCATGTAGCTCTTCAAAAATATTTCAAATTCAGCATGGCTAAAACTGAACTCATTATCTTCCCTACCAAATCTACCAATGGTACTACTATTTACTGAGTTAACTCAAATCATAAGTTTGGGAAATATTCTAGATTCTTTTCTTCTTCACACTCCTGAATTGTAATCAATCACAAGATCAGAGAAGACGGAAACTTTTAATGACAAACTACTCACAAATATAAATGTGAATAAATTCTTCTATGATACCAGTGAATAATATAATTTACTAAATGGCAGGTGGAGAAATACATTAAGGTCAATCAGGTTATAGAATTCATGAAAAGCATTTTTATTACCTTTCCCAGTTGTAGAGATTAATATTGATCTGAATTGCTTGATAAACAAGGCCAGCTTGAAGAAGTACTATTTCAGCCTCCTGCATGTTCCCACTAAACATTAGTATGTGGGCCATTTTTGATTCTTTAGATGGAAGATTTTTTATAGAATTAATGTACTGAACCTTATCAATCTAAATAAAGAAAAGAAAAAATATTTGAAGTGGACAATAACAGAAATGTAACAAATTATGCTAAGAAAAACACACAAATGTACACATAAGTAATCATTATTTACTTACTTCACCAATCGCTGCATAGGCTATTTCTGCAGTAGTCATATCTCTATTAGCAACTGACATAGCAGCTAGGCAAGCCCACATGGTTTGTTCCTAAAGTTCAACATGAGAAAAATGATATCAACTATAAGTAATGATTTAAATAACAAAATTATATATATTTTTAAAATTATAGAGTCCTTGGCTCTTAAGCACTTGGCTGCTAACCAAACTTTGGTGACTCAAACCCACCCAATGGCTCCCAGGGAGAAAGACCTGGCAATCTACTCCCATAAAAACTATAGCCTAGAAACTATGGGACAGTTCTACCCTGTCAGATGCAGTTGCTATGGGTTGAAATGGACTCAATGCCACCTAACAACCACCACCATATTATAATATTTCAATTTAAAAAAATTACTAAGTACTGTACTGAAAAAGGTAATTTAATAAATTAACGATATGGAAAGTTCATCGTAGCCACTTTGTTAAACTACATTAACACATGGATAACTCACTTTGGATGAAATTTTCTGAAACTTTTCATATCTAATTTCAAAGATACATTTTTGAACTTAAAATATACTTTTAAAACAACTCAAGGTTATAAACTTGTCAGTCTTTCTGATGAGGTGCCAAAGAACATTAGTTAATCAGGTTCTCTGACAATATGGCAGATTTTTACCAATAACCAATTGTAAGAAAAAGCATCTAAAAGTTATCTCACAATGGCACATTCTAAGGGATGTTAACTGATGTTCAATAAAGTAATTAATTCTGTGATCAAACATGTTTGGAAAATACTGGATTCAACTAAGTTGGGAAATGTTCATTCAGAGGTTCTAAATTCTAGCTGTGCAAAAGAATCATCTGAAAAACCTAAAAAATATGCCCAGGTCTCACTCCAAACCTAATGAATTAGAATCTCTGTGGGGTAGACCTTAGAAACTTGACTTTGAAAAAGGTCCACAGAGGATTTTTGTATGTGCCAGCATGGAGAAACTGTTTTTGTATGCCAACGAATTGATTCTGACTTATAACAATACTAAATGACAGAGTAGAATTGCCCCTAGTCTGTAATCTCTATGGGAGCAGATCACCAGTCTTTCCTCCTGTGGAGCACTCGTAGGTTCAAACTGCTGACGTTTTAGTTAGCAGCCAAGTGCTTAACCTATTGAACCACCTGGGATCCTTAAGAAAAAATTACTTCAAAAAATAAATCACCCAGAAATATTTATTATCCCTTCAGTATCATCTATGTCTTTATTTCTCAGAAGGCATGACCATTCTCAAGTTCTAGGCCTTAAAAAAAAAATTAGTTCGTGGGTAGTGCCTGGGGTCTTAAAAGCTTGCAAGCAGCCAGCCATTCAAGGCACAAGAATTAGTCTCTATTTGCCTGGAGCAACAGAGAAAGAAGGAGAATCATGAATAGGAAGAGGATATGGAATGTATAGCTAATTGCCTCTGAATAGCAGCCTCCTTTGCCATGAAATCAGAAGAACTGAATGGTGCTCAGCTACCATTACTGAACAATTTGATCAAAAATTGTACTGCAGAACCCTGATCAATAGGGGGAAAATGCAGAACTGAATTTCAAATTCTCATGGACCCTAGATTTTCGGGAGCCAAAGGAGGTAGAGGAACCCCTGAAACTACCGTCCTGAGACAATCTTGAAATCTAAAACCAAAAATATTCCTTGAAGTCTTCTTAATAGTTTAGCTTAACCAGTAAAGAGAGTCTGCACTGAGTAATGTGCTCTTTTGATCTGTATGGGATCAAACTGACAACGACAATTCAAACAGTTATACAGGAAACTTAAGGGTAGTGAGTTTATATTAATAGGGACAGAACAACTTGAAAAAGAAGGGTGAGAATTGTTTCACAACTTGAAGAATATAATCAATGCCACTGAATCGTACATGAAGAAATTGTTGAACTGATATATATTCTGCTATGGCTACTCTCAACAACAACAACAAAAATAATTTTTTTTTTTTTTCCAAAAAGTTTACCATCAAGTCGATTCCAACTCATGGTAACTCTATGTGTTACAGAACAGAAGTGCTCCATAGGGTTTTCTTGGCTGTTTCATGGAAGTAGACCGTCAGGCTTCTTCTTCCACGATACTGCTGAGAAGGTTCAACGTAAATCAACCTTTACGTTAGTTGTTGTTGTTGTTGTGTGCTGTCGAGTCAGACCCAACTCATAGTGACCCCTCCTTGGGTTTCTGAGGCAGTATCACTATGGAAGTAGATTGCCCCATCTTCCTTCTGAGGAGT